CAGTTATATATGTGAATGGCTTCGGTTAGTAGATCCGCAGTGGTAGGTAAATATTATTACTTGGCACTGCCAAAAAGGAATTCGCACGGCAGCGAATGGATTATTCTCGAACTGACTTTTGTCTGAACTGCAGGGAAGAAGATGAGAAATACAGCATAGATCATTGCCCTGTCATTAGCCCACCCTTTCAGTGTACATATAAAAGTTCTTAACTTTGCAGGCATCTCCTACATCAAGATGGCACATTGGCTCCTTGATGTGGTAGCGTTAAAGAGCAGAGAATAGGCAGTGAATAAGTGAAACTAAATAGGGAAAACCGGCCTAAGCCTCTAGCTCTACTTATTGAGGTTAACGGTGACCACCGCAACTTAATCTACACTCAATTGTACGTTGTAGAGAACCTAAAAAATTTCCATATATGCCAGCGCTGTTCCTAATGTTTTTTTTCTATTGACCGGGCGAACTAACGTGAGAAACAAACAACATAAATAATTTAACACTTAACTCCTTCTTGCAGGAAAAGCTCTTTCGATGCATTTAGTAGACAATATAAGCGAGCAACAGAGACGTTATTGCGGACCACAGTACTCCGTTGTTGACTTGACCTTTTTGTGCGGATGTCAAGGTGCAGGTTATGTTACCTTAAACAGTCTTTGATCTCGGCTGAGCGTTTTGTCTACCCGTTGTACAACAGTGCGCCCAATAAAATCGCCCACCTAAAACTCTCTCTGTCAGACGGTGGAAAATGACTGCCTGCAAAACAAAAACGTNATTCGGTAGGACCTAAGTTCGATCATTGGTCAGAGCAAAATCCAAGAAAAAAGTTGTTTTCTAAAATTTCTCATAAAACCATTTGCCGTTCGGAGGCGGCTTAAAAATGCAGGTTGCTTAATATGTGTGGTGTATTTATAACCAAAAAAAAAAAAACTTGTGTGCTTAACGACGAATAGGCATGGAAAAAGTCCTTTAAAAATTTGTCCCTGAATATCCTTGAAAAATTTTAATATTTATCGTTAGAAAGTTATATGACGAATTTCGTCATTTTCACTTTATTAGCTTAAAACTTAAAATTAGTTAAAAACGAATTTTCAATACCTGAATTCTACCGAATTTTATTTTTCATCTGATATCTACTCATCTTGTTACTCTACATTGCACAGATTTTTTTAAATGATTTTTTCTAATTCTAAAGTCCTTTAAAAAAATCATCCTTTCGCCAGAGAGAAAGACTAAAAACGCGGTCCTACTAAATTGGACTGTTTTTTTTCGCACGGTGTTATAATTTTGTTGAATGGCGAACACCTATTGCAAAATAATTTACCCTAGAAGTTCAAGTTTTCAAATGCAAATGATCATAATTATAAATTCTCAAATCATTCCATTTGCGTTCCCTACTAACACTGTAGCTGCTACATTTGCCTATTTTAGAAATTTTATTGCACAAATCAGCCATCGCCAGACCACCGACAATTTTTTTGTCAACATAATTAAGACTTCAATTAGAAAACTTCGAGCATTTTAGTTAACATACTTAAGAGAAGGTACAAAAAGGGCCAACAGACTGTGAAGACGGCTTGCAGCGGAGCATTGACTATAGAGAAATTGCAGCCCGAGCAGCATAGCGTGTCATAATGGACATGTTAGAGCGGCCAAGTTGTACGCATTTCAGAACGTGAACCCACACGGTTGGGTGCCACTGTGTTGAGTTTTTCACATTTTTCCGCAATTTTACACATTTTCCCCCGCTGTGGAGCGCATTTGCTCTGCACACTTGCCGCTGCGCTTAGTCCTTCGTAGCACCAAACTGATTTTTTTTTTTTCATTTTAGTTACACATTTTTTTCGTTTTTATTTTCAATTTACCATCCTTATGACCTGCTGTTTCGCCGCTCTGGCGTGTGATTTTCCAATGTGCGCGCCCCCAGTTCCAGTACCGACCAACCCCGGCCACCGGTGGTGGCGGCGTGTGAGCGCGCTCTCATCGCTTATTGCTACATAGCTGGCTTGTTATGCTCTCAGTTGTGGATTATTTTTTTTTGCATTTTTTATAATTTTTATTTACTTTGCCACATTTTGGTTTTTTATCGCATTCGACTCAGAGGCGCGAGCGTTGCGCTCAATTTTTATATTTTCCCCGTTTTGGACAGCCTACAACACTCTCGCAAACAGCAAACAGTGCGGCATGACATGGCATGCACGAGTTTGTTAGTATTGGTGTGTGTGTGTGTTGTGTGTGTGGTGGGTGCACGCGCACGTTAGTGTGCGCTGTGGTGAGGCGAGTGCACACCGCAATGGAAAAATGGGAAATTTTTCCTGTGGTTGTTGTTGTGGCAATGGTGGTTGCTGATACCTGCCATTCAGCAAGCCAGCCTTGGCTTTGTTGTGCTGATGTATGCCGTATGCCGTATGCCTTCTGCCTTTTTGCCTTCTCCGTCTTCCTTGTCGTCGCCGTCGCCGTCTACGACTTTCTGCCTGCGGGGAAGGCACCCTTAGCCGGCCGTGAATGTCGTGGTTGGACGGGGACGAACCAATGAATCGACCAACAAACACACCAACAAACCGACCACCACCACCACCATTACATCAACAATATAAACGACGACAATAACAACAAACAAGCTGGAAATTCAGCCAACCATTGTTGGTTTGTTGGTCGAGCACACGTGGATGTATGCGAGTGTGTGCGTGCGGAGCGGACGGCACACATTTTCACTTCAAATACTGGTGACGATCGGTCCGGAGAGTCAGTTCACTCAGCGACTTTAACGTGTTAGGAACGATTTCCTCGGAGCAATTTTGTGGATGATTTTTCCTAAACGAAACGAAAAATTTAAATCAGAAAAATACCATAGACGAAACAGATACGTGAACCGCGTTGCGCGTCGAGCTCTCCAAGTCACACACACACAACAAGCAATTTGGAATTTTTGAACTGTGAAACGAAATCCTAAAAAACATATGCAGACTAAATTACATGGCTGCAAGTGTCGGAAAACAATTTATAATGCCTTAGCGTCAAAGTGAATACAAACAAAGAAATACAAGTGTTGAAATCCCCAAAAAATTAATATTTTAAATAATTTTAAACAAAATCAACAAAGTTAAGTGCAAAGAGAAAAAGGTTCCAGCAACTTTAATAAACTGGCACAGCATACAGCCTGTGTAGCCACACCGCATTCCTTGTCCCTCGCCGTTAACGCAAGACAAGTCAAAATTCGCGCACCCACAATGCATCTTGCCAGCTGGTCCTACAATGGTCGCTGCGCCCGCGCAACTCGCCAACGTTCCAGCACCACCACAAGCCTCCGCAGCAGCGGGCCACGGCCACCAACAATCGGGCGGTGGCGCCAACACACGTGTGCCCAGCTCCGCCAGCTCAACGGGCTCCTCCACACCAGATAACAATAACTGCAACAGTAACAGCAGCGCCTCCGCAAAATTACCACCCTCCATGACCGACATGTTCGCCAGCTTGCACGAGATGCTGCAGGAATATCACGGCGAATTGGCACAAACCGGCTCACCGTCGATTCTTGTGCAGTGCGCTGCCTAATCATTGGCGCTCAAACAAATCCTTGCCAGGCGCGTTCAAAGTGATCGCGCTGGACGATGTGCCCGACGGCACTTTGGTTTCGATAAAATGCGGCAACGATGAGAATTATTGCGGCGAGCTGCGCAACTGCACGGCCATCATGAAGAATCAGGTGGCGAAGTTCAACGATTTGCGCTTTGTCGGACGCTCCGGCCGTGGCAAGTCCTTTACGCTGACCATCACCATTGCAACCTACCCGGTGCAGATTGCGAGCTATACGAAAGCGATCAAAGTGACCGTGGACGGACCGCGGGAACCAAGAAGTAAGCAAAGTAAGTTTTTAGTTTGTTTGCGCTTTAGTTGGACTCTTTGGTTGCTTTACTTTGGTTTTGTTACGTACTAGAACTTTGAAACAAACAAAAACCGCTTGGACTGCACTCACTCCACTGCTGCTGCTGTGGCTTTAGTTTAGAACGCTTCTTACTATTTTTCCTTTATTTATTTTCATTTTTCACTTCTTATCTTATGTATTATTTTTACTTTATACAACTCCGTTTGCCTATTTTTCGTTTTCGTTACTTATTCGTATGCTTTGCTTTTCGTTTTTCCTTTTCCGTAGGTTATGGCTACCCACATCCCGGCGCTTTCAATCCCTTCATGTTGAACCCCGCATGGCTCGATGCCGCCTACATGACATACGGCTATGCGGACTACTTCCGCCATCAGGCCGCCCTACACCATCCCGCCCTGGCGAAAAGTCCGCCCTCGCTACCAGCCGGCGCCGGCGCCACCGTCATACCACCGCCCCCACCACCAGGTGGCGGTGCACCGGGCACAGCTGCCGACTTCCATGCCGCGCAGCTAACACCACCACCGCAAGTTGGTGCGCCTGGTGGCTTGCCACCGAACGCAGCTATTGGCATGATACCCTCGCCGCCCGGTTCCGCTTATGGCGTAGGCCTACCGCAGTTCCCGTTCAATCCAGTCGCTGCCGCCGCCTTCCACCCGTACAACTTCGCTGCGGCAGGGTTACGCGTGCCGCCGACCCACAATATGCACAATACCTCGCTGGGCAGCTCGCACGGCTCAACGGAACACATCAGCCCCGCGCACATAAGTCCCGCCTCGTCGCGCCCATCATCGTCTTCGCCACCCGCACATGTACACAACATCAGCACCGGCAGTGCGGGCGGCGATGGTAGCGGTAACAACAACAAAGCGAACACCTCGCTGGAGCAGTCCTTGTCCGACGCCGATCCTGACATCGAATCCGATGATGAGCCCATCGATGTTGTAAAATCTGCTTTTGTGCCCATTCTGCGTCCGCCAACTGTGTCGCGCGCAACAGCGCCAATCGCTGCCGCCGCCGCCGCCTCCACCGCTGCCGAAGAGTTGGAGAAGTCCCGTCAGCAAGCGCCGTCTCGTATGCGCTGCGAACTCAAGGCGCCGTCAGTGATGAAGGTGCAGTACCAGCATAGCGCGCAAGCGCGACACATTTCGCCCGATATTACCGCTGCAACAAAGCTGAAGGCGGCGGTAAATGCCGCAAAGACTGTATGGCGGCCCTACTGAAACACTACGCACTCCGCCGTCGGAGTTGTTCTGCATTCGATATGGAAGGTGGCTCAAAGCAGTGGGAGTATGAGTTGAATGGTGAAACCACAGGGTTTCCAGAGTGGACCTCTTTCATCAACTTTGTCGCTCTCACGAGAAGCAGCTGTTAAACGCGGCGACGGCGGCTAAAAAATCAGACTAGCGATGCCGCGCTGGTGTGTAAAAATGCCGACGGCAAATGCGACAGTAGCGCGCAAATGGACGGACGTTGTACGGCAGAAGCAGCAGCAACACTAGCCGAAAATCTCACTTGGGATCTCTTAAGCTCCAATGCTCCAGCACTCACTTACTCCTATCCGCACTTGTGATAAATATTTTTGGTTTTTTGGTTTTTGGAGCAGCGGAGTGTAGTTAAAATATTTTGTGATATAGTGTTAAGTTTAAATGCATAACCAATTAGTGTTTCTACGCCAATGAAAAAAGTGAAAAAAAACAGTAGCGAGCGAAGAAGTTTGAAACAAAAAAACAAAAATCCACTTGGGCAGGCAACAAGGACATCATTGTTGTGATGTCGCTGCCGTTCTCCAACTCGCCCGCCGGGGGCGTTTACAATTAGAGCGTTAGAACCCCATATTACTCAAATGTACCTACTTTCCACACACACACACACACAGGTATTTGCACGAATTGTACTCACGCCAGGACATTTGACCTAGCACACACACACGCTCATGCGATACGAATTGTATTTTGAAAGAAAGCTAACAAAAAATCTTGTAATCTTGGCAGTAGCAAGGAAACAGGGTCCATCGGATTTGGTAGTTGCCGAAATTCAACAAAAAGTTAATAACTAACCTAAAAAAAACACACACACGCACATGTGTTCTTGCAAACTTCATTTGTATGCGTTGATTTTGTTGAGTTTATGCAAATACTCGATTTAGTTTGGGAATTGCAAACATAAATTTGTTAGTGTTGCTTGGCGCAGCATTTTACATATATATATTTTGTAAAATTGCAACCAATTCGATGTTTGTAAATATCTGAAAAGTTATATGAAAATGGAAAACTATGTATTATTCTTATGCATGTATGTATGTATGTATAGTATCTACGTATGTATGTATTTGTGTTTTATTTGATACTTGTATTATTTATTAATTTTATTGCAATTGTTTATTGTAAGTTGTTGGCAAACGCAAAATAAGAAAAAAAAAACTAAAGCAAACAAACAAAATTAACTAACGAATTTCATGCGAATAGTAAAAGAAACGAAAATAAAACTTAAAATATATTTTTCCAAAATCATAAAAATTAAACTAAATTTTTTCTTTATTTAATAGCTATCTGAAAACTACGCTAGGAAAAGGTTTTAGTTACGCCAACCAAATATCTTTCGCTAAATTGCAATATTATTTGGTTATATTGTGTTGCGAGAAATATATTTAGTCGACTCTTTTCTCAGTGTAAGGTGAAGAAATGGGATCGTGAATGTAAATTAGTGGAACAAATTTAAAACAAGCTGTTGGAAAAAAATATAAGGATAGAGTGGAAATTGGTGGCTGTATCTGTAATATAATATATTGTAAGACTCATATCAGATAGTTCCCGTAACGATGTGAACTCATATGCTCCTAGTATGGTATTTATGGTCCTCATTAGAGCTGGACATTTTCAAAGAAGGTGCTCCATTGGGTTCCAACTGGCCAATGCTCAGTCTTGCAACGCCAGTTCGGGGTTTTTTTAATAAGTTGTGTTTTTTTTAGAAACATTAGTTTGGATATACGGCAGCCTGCCGCTGTGCGCAACCTTTGTTTCGATTTCTGAAGATTGAGCTGAAAGATGTCTCTATATAAGGTTCCAATTGAGAGTGAGATCCGATCCCCGATCGAGAGCAATGTGCAACCTTCGCTGTCTTATTCGTCTGCAGTTTTGTATCCAGGGATCCAAACTAAATCTAGATCGAGCTGACTACTTACTGAGTTTAAAAGAGTCTTACACTCCTTGAAGAGTTCCGACCTTGTTCTAAGATATGCCAAGGTCTTAGTTGCCGCCTGGCTATCTGAGAAAATAGCTTCGCGCTCGCCGTCACGCAAACCACTACGTTCTAGACGGAAGCCTTCAGCTGTAGCGTATATTTCTGCCTGGAAAATACTCCCAAAATCGGTCAGATGAATTGATCTTCTTAATCCCAGGGATTCGGATTAAACGCCGTCCCAGTCGGCCCTCGAAAAAATAATGACCCCAAAAGGCCTGTGAAACTCTGTGAATCGGTAGCCACTCTCATCCCGATGCTCCATTGTTCTCTACCCAGTTTCATATATCCAGTTTTCTGAATCTTATAGCCGATAGTGAAATAAAAATGTCTCTTTTGTTACATTTTATTCATAGCCCCCTAGACTTCTTTGCAGAAAGGAAGGGGATTTTATTGATGAACATTGGCAGAGCTACATCAAGATATAGCAGCAATTAAAAGTCATTTTGGCGATAAAATATCTTCTCATATGCTAGCAAGTTATTGCTAGTCTCTATATCGCGCAAGAACGCCAAACAAAACACATTCAGTTTTCATGCAAATCGTTGTTCTGCGCGATGAATAAACTAAATAAAAGCTGGTAAAATTAGGGTAAGTGTAGAGACAGTGCAGGTAAACGTAATACTTTCTTTGATAATTGATTACAGTTGCAAATATTTAAGTCAGGTATCGCTAATGTACAGGTATGCCGCTGATGCGCATTTCGGGGTAGGTATCTTAAATGCCCACTTAAGCATAAAGGCAGCAAAGCAAAATATACTGTACATCAATACTTTAATAAAAGTGATTTTTTAAACAGCACTAACTCACGTAATCTAACTTTTTTTAAGTTTTTTTCATTTAAAAACGTTACAGGATTACATTTGTGTTGATCTAAGTGCGTATTACAAAAATCATATTACACTAGCGTACCCGGCTTGTATCGCTTCGCCGATAAAGAAATATTTTTATATATGTAAGTATATTAAACAGGTGATTTTGGGTACACAATATTTTTTTTTTGTTTTTTCGCCTTGTTTAAAAATAAATATTTCAATCGAACTCGCCATGCATTTTTTACAGCAAGTCTAGTCCCATTGCATAATCGAGGAGGATTTACATTTCGAAGAAGAACTATGGGCGCACCAATTTTGAGTGCCAATACATACGTATGGCTGCATGTTACGGAGATCTAAGGGATTCAAGAATTCAATCAGATAGTTAGCAATCTCGTATACATTCATTACCCTGTCCAATGATTTTAAAATTGTCATTGCTTTTTGGGGCTAAAAAAAACTGGAGAGACGTTTATAACCCTGGTTTAAGGTTTGGACCATTTGGTACAATATTTTTAGTATATCGTTTCATTTCTTGTGAAATAAAAAAGTTATTAGTGTTTCATACTACCTTCACGTTCAGATATGTACTTTCTTTCTACACTAATATCTTTAAAAATCACGATGGAAATAAGAAAATTATGTTACTGAGGTCCATGGAAATTCGGTACTTAGCATTTATTATCGACATCATCCCTAACAAAAATCGCAAAGTCTGTTCTGCCCTTTTCCAAGTTGGATAAGGAAGCAAAGCGAATAGGCCTGATGGTAAACGAGGACAAGACGAAGTATCTCCTGTCATCAAAGAAACAGTAAGCGCATTCACGCCTTCGTATCCACGTTACTGTTGACAAATTCCATGTAGGCTTTACGTGATTACCTGCCAAAGGCTTTAATCACAGTGCCCGCATTAGGCCCAACGGATTAATTTTTGCATTAATCACTGCCCTGAACTGCAAGCACTTCAGTACCAATTGGCGGTATGTGGTGGACACACTTACCACCTTGGTAGGGCCGAGGCCTACCTAAACCTCTGACGTTCTCTGGATCACGACATCCGGTTGCAATGCATCTCCACATTGAACCATTGCTGGTTCTACCCGCATTTAGGTATTAAACAGCCACCACGATACTCCCCAAAGGTGCCGTACCCATGAACAGACCGGAGTAATGCTCGCCGGCGAGATTTGCTCGACTGGCTCAACTCATCCTGACCCACTTAACTGACTCAGCTCACACTAGAACGACTTACACGACTACTAAACTCCACATTCATACTCCGTCCTGCTCGTCTCACAAGTCTAATCGCCTCGCTCGTGGGTACCCTCCACATTCTCCAGGAGAGGTCACACCACTCGCTCAGCTTTCGCAACGGATCGAATTGCCCAACTTGCGCACAACTTTTTCAACATTTCCAGCGGTTTCCACCACACATTTCCTTCAATTTCAACTTATTTTCACCATTTTCTAGTCGTGTAAGCCATGCCAGCGCTTGCCTTGCCAGCCTTGCAAGCCTTGCTTGTGTCGCCAGTTTTGCTCGTCTCGCCGACGAACACACTCCGGGGGCATCTGTTCTCCGTGGCACCATTTTTAAAGTCTTTGGTATGACTCTCGAAAGCCGTAGACTTCTTCCAGTTGAACCTCCACCGACTCAGGACTGGTAGCCTTTAACTGGGGTAGACGGGGTTGTCAAGCCCATACCCTGGAAATACCAAAGCCCGCTGTCTTCCCTCCTGTTTCCTCAAACCGGGCTTGGGACCATCTAAGGCACAGTTCGTTACTGTTGACAGTTACAATTTCGAGATTAGAGAATTTGGTTTACTTGCAAAAAAGCATTAACATCCGATAATAATGTCAGCATAGAAATCCAACGCTGATTACTCTTGCCAACAAATCCTACTTTGGATTGAGTAGGCAATTCAGAAGTCACGTCCTCTCTCGACATACGAAAACCACACTCTATAAGTGCTGGTATATGGCGCAGAAGCCTGGACAATGACAACATCCGAATAGGCGGCTCTTGGAGTATTCGAGAAAAAGCTTTTGCGGAAGACTTACGGGCCATTCCGCATTGCCGGCAGCGAATACCGCAGACGATGGAACGATGAGCTGTATGAGCTTTACAACGACATAGACATAGTGCAGCGAATCCGTTGGCATGGTCATGTCGTTCGAATGGACACCGACGCTGCAGCTCTGTAAGTATTCAACTCGGAACCCGCTGGGGGTAGCAGAGGAAGAAGGAGGACCCCACTGCGATGGAAAGACCAATTGGAGAATGACTTGGCTTCACTTGTCATTTCCAAATGGCGTCAGTAGGCGCTGAAGAGAAATTACTGGCGTACTTTGTTGAATTCGGCTAAAATCGCTTAGGCGGTTAGAGCGTCAAGCAAAATAGAAGGAAGATAGAAGTAGCAATGCGTTTTCTTGATAACTAAACTACAAAATTAGCATACTTTCTCCCCTGTACATGCTCAAAGGATAATATGGATACTAATTGGCGCCTTAGTTACTCAGGCACATAAACAATTGTTTGATAGTTTTTTTTATAGAAAAGGAAGATCATTCAAGGCTTCCAACCAGCATTGCTGCTGTGGTGTTTTTATCCAAAATTGGTAAAATGTTTCCCTATTTATCAAATTTTGTAAATTTCGTTATTTGCTTTTTAATTTGCAAAATTTTTCCATTCGGTTGGACCTTTGTTCAGTAAAGTAGATCCTCCCCTCACATAGGTGAATACAGGCTCGTTTTGGTGACTCATGTTTTTAATCCTTGTCTAACCCAAGTTCAATTTTTTCTACTTACATTAGTAAAGAGTGGACATGGATCAGCCAGGTTTATAAATTCTGTTCCCTCAGCAATGTTAAATTAAACTTTAAATTTTTGTATGACTACATAAATAAATTTACTAAACTTTGCAACTTTTTAATGTGGTTAACCTTTTTTAAGAAGAATGGAGCCGAGTAAGCAAAAACCACTACTAAAATTGAAGTTTAAAATCACAAATTTCAAACAACATATTAAATTTTTAATTACACCCGTTTCCCCTTAACCACATTGCAACCGCAAATTTAATGCTCATTCTTTTTCAAATTCAGCTTGAAGGACATCTTCGTGAAAAACATGCCTACTTGCAAGGCGTACACTTTTCAAGGTTATATGTACATATTTGTTAAATAAAGAACGGGGAAGCCAATTTATTTGTGTGTTTTCTATCGTCCTCATT